CTTCTCTGTGTTACAAACAAATGCACAAAGACATAATACCCTGACCACAATGTGGTGTAAGGTATAAAAACATGTTTGATGATTGAAGCTGCACTTCGTTGAAATGAATATAAAATCCTCCAAAAAAGCAGATTTTAAAGGATAACATCATCAAAAGGATAATTTATATATAATCTGATACGGCCAAAAAGTGCTTCATAAAGAAACGATTGTAGACCATAGGTCTCATTGAACAAAATCCGTTTCAGGATATTTTGAGTCCATCTAGCAATGTCCATCCGTCCGTCTGTCTGTCTGGCTGAATGATGTTCACGATAACTCTCGAAGAAAGTAACCGATTTGGCCCAAAATTAATAAATCGTAATATTATTATCAAACTTAGATCTAGTTTGGAGATCGGTCCACTCCGGCACTGGTACATCAACCTCAAAAGGTCCAATATTTCAAAAAATCTATTATTTTCACAGAAAGAGAAAGGATAATCCGATTTTGCTCCAACTTTGCAAAACCTAATATTTGCGTCAGTGCTAGGTCAGGTCCGAAAATGGACAATATTGGTTCACTCCATCAAGTACCTCCCCCACAAAGGTTAGAAATTTTGAATAATTACAACTCTTATATTATGTGATGTAAGAGTCCAATTGTCTTTAAACCTCACAAATTCCAATATTTATGGTAACCCAAGGTCCGGTGTTAAGATGGTATATATATCGGTCCACTACCTCTGCTACCTCCACCACAAATGGTCGAAATTTTTATGAAAAATATATATTTTCTGCACAGAAAGAGAAACGATAATCCTATTTGGCTCCAACTTTGCACATCCTAATATTTGCGTCATTGGTCTGGTGCGAAAATGGTCAATATCGGTCCACTCCATCAGGTTACCTCCTCGCCAAAGAATCCACATTTTGAATTATAAGTCATACAAAATTCGATGTAGGAGTCCGATTGTCTTCAAATTACACACATCTTAATATTTCCATCAACATAAGATCTGGTATTAAGACGGAATATACCGGTCCACTTCATCTGGTACCTTCCCCCCCCCCAAAAAAAAAAGGTCGAAATTTTGAAAATCCATTAAGCTCATAAAACTTGAAATTAACATCCAATTTCATTTAGACTTGGCACATCTGAATATTCCTATCAACACAGGATCTTATATAAAGGCGGTAGAGATCGGACCATTCCCCAACATAGGCTTCAAAATTTTGAAGAACAGAAAACTTCTGGTTCCTCAGCAACAAAGGGTCACCATTTTTAATACTTTTTTTGTCATAACATGCGAAACAAATCAGCGATTCTTTACAACTTTCTAATTCCAAATATTTCTCTCAACCAGAAACCTGAGATGAATATGGAATTTATGTTTCGCATAAAATTGGATACAAATCTTCGATGTTCTAGCAATTTTCATGTAGGTCAATTTTGAGTGGATATAATATACCTGCAAAGACAATTTTCTCTTTTAGACTGAAATACCCATAAGAACTTCAAATGAACTAAATTAGAAACACATCCGGTAAATAATGTAACTAATTTCATAAAAATACCGAATATAGGGAGGTACAGCAACATTCTAGAACCAACATAGAAAATTTTGTGTCATAGATTGTATTACCTATTAAGAACTTTAAATATGAAATTTGAAAGAATTCTTTGAATAATTTATTTAAAATCATCAAAATACTGAATATGGGGATATATGAGGGCCATACGAAGGCCTGGATCTGCAAATACAATTTTCTACAAATTTTCTGTCACAGGTTGTAGTACCCATTACGAACTATCATTATGAAATTTGAAACACTACCGGTGAATAAAGTTTCTAAAATCATCAGGATACCGAATATTGGGCGGTACAGCTATATGGAGGCTGTGCCTAAACGTGGACCTATGTAGCCCATTTTCAATACCAAATGTCCTGCAGAAAAAACACACATTTGAGTAAAATTTAACCACATTTTTCAATTCATTTGGAAGCTAGAATGATTTCCACAGACGGACAGGTAAACATACGGGCGGTCATCGTTAGATCGGCATAAAATGTTATGCTGACCAAGAAAATATATACTTTGTGGCGTCTAAAATGTATATTTTGAGGTGTTACAAACGGAATGACAAACTTAATATACCCTCCATACTATGGAGGACGGTATTATAAAGATGGAATATTCGGTCAACAACGGTCAACAAATTTTGTACTTAACGCACATTTTCAAAATTTATAAAAATGACCCAATATATTCCAAACCCGGCAGTTCCCAATATTCATATCATATTTATTTAGGTCCCATACGATATATTGATGTTTTTTTTTGTAGCCTCCCCCATTCTATGGAGGGTATATTCATTTTGTCATTACGTTTGTAACTCATCGAAATAATGATCTTAGACCCAACAAAGTATATATATTCTTGATCAACGTAAAATTCTAAGATGATTTAGCCATGTCCGTCGGTGTGTATGTCTGTCTGTTGAAGAAGGCTAAAATTTTGCACACATGTTTATTTTGCCAGTAGGCAGGATAGGTTCGTAAATGGGCCATGTAGGTCCACGTTTTCATATAGCCCCCATATAAAGGTACCTCCCGATATTCGGTATTTTGATGATTTTAGCGACATTAATCACCGGACTTGTTTCAAATTTGTCATTTGAAGATCGAAATGGATACTACAACCTGAGACAGCCTACAGCCTTTCTATGCAGGTCCACGACTTCGTATAGGCTCCATATAACGGTACCTCCCAATATTCGGTATTTTGATGATTTTAGGTACAATTCCCACAGAAATTGTTTGAGATGTCGTATTTGAAGTTCGTAATACATGCTGCAGCTTATGACACAAAATCGTCTATGCTGGACCAGGTCTTCGCACAGCTCCGATATAACGGTACCTCCTTATATACGATATTTGGATGATTTTCATTCACGTTTATTTCAAATTTCGAATTTGAATATGGTAATGGCTTATGGCAAACAATGCCTATGTAGGTCCACGTCGTGCAGACCCCAATATAACGGCTATATTCGGTATTTTTAAAATTTTAAGCAGAATTTTTTAAGGATTTTATTTCTTGAAAATTTCCAAATTCGTTTCAAATGGTGGAGGGTATTCAAAGTTCGGCCCACCGAATTTACTGCTTTTTAACTTGTTTCTATTGGCAAAGTGCCAACCAGAGCTATGTTTTTTGACCCTCCACCATACATAGTATGGAGGGTATATTAAGTATATATATCCCCCACATTACGGTACCCCCGATATTCGGTATTTTGATGATGTTAGTCACATTTTCAATGAAATTGTCTGCCATATTTTTCTTGGAATTGTCTGAAATGCTACATAAGGAGTTCTTTGCGAGTACTTTAGCCCCTGAAAGAGAATTATCTATAAAGGTCCACTATATGGTAATTCCCATTATAACGGCACCTTCCGATATTCGGTATTTAAATTATTTTAGCCACATTTTTCAATCAAATCGTCTGCCATATTTTTCATGGAATTGTCTGAAATGCTACATAAGGAGTTCATTGCGAGTACTTTACCCCCTAAAAAAATTGTCTATATAGGTCCACAATATCGTATATCCCCCTATATATCGGCATCATCCCATATTCGATATTTTGATGATTTTAGCCATATTTTTCAATGGAATTGTCTGAAAGTCTACACAATGAGTTCTTTGCGAGAACTTTATCCCCTGGATGAGAATTATTCATATAGGTCAACGATATCGTATAGCCCCCATATTACGGAACCCCTCGATATTCGGTATTTAGATGATTTTAGCCACATTTTTCAACTGAATTGTCTGAAAATTCACACAGGAACGTCTTTATGAGTACTTTACCCCCTGAAAAAGAATAGAACCTCCCGATATTCGGTATTTTTAAGATTTTAAAAGAATTTTAAATGGATTTCATTTTTTGAAAATTTCCAGATTCGTCCAAAATAGTGGTGGGTATTCAAAGTTCGGCCTGGGCGAACTTACAGCTTTTTATTTGTTTTTTTTTTTTGCACTGTTCATACTTTTATCAACAAATTACACAATGTTTAACCTTATAATGTCCTTAAAATGTTACAATACCATCTGTCTAGGTTAAGTTATTATTTCTGCCACAATCATCTTAATGGCATGTCATACACATCACACAATAATAATCCTTATTTGGTCAATGACAATTATCCACAATTGACAGTTATTGCCCGAGTGGCCCAGGCACCATGGGCCTCTCGGCCATGAGCTATAAAAAGGTTAATCCGTATTTCTCCATGTTTACTCCAATCCTATTAACACTATCACACTTTCGATGTGTAAGCAGATGTATTTATTCCCCGGTGTTTGTTTTGTCGCTTTTTCTGCACGTTGTTGTCGTTGTCGTTTTTTTTTTCTGTCTCTCTCCACCTTCTTTTCATCGTTGTCTCTGTTCAAACAAATTTAATGTTTTGCCTTTGTTGACTTAATGTTGTTTTCTATGACAACATTCGATGGCTATATAAACAATGAAAGTACCACTGAACAAGCACGCAAACTATGGAAACCGCTCAACACCCGTTCTCATCGTGCCCCGCTCGCTCGCACGCTTGGCACGAGAGAGACGCGCACAAACCGACATTTCAAGATATCGAAAACAAAAGGATGACTAAACTTTTACAGACAACCAGTCGCAGGTTTCCGTGCAGGCAATGCATGTTGTTTGTTTCTGGCAATTCCAATGGCTCCAGTTATCCTTTGGTGCACTGCGAACATGCACCGACACTCATACACACACTCACATACATTCACACCCGTTCAAACGAAATGTGGCACGTTATTTGCAATTTAACATATTTACCGGATGGTGCACAACAGACTCTTTCGCAAAAACTTCACAACTTTTCATTATTTTCTTGTTTTGGCCTGGAACTTGGCTAGCAGACAAGTATCCGTCTACACCCTCACTTCCTTCCGTTTGGTCCGTCTATGTTGTTGTTGTTATTATTTGTTTGCACTTACTTTATTTTCTTCTTTCGCCCACTCCCGTTCGCTTTGCCCCTTTTGCGTGATTGTGTCAAACTCTTTGTTTAATGGAATTACTTTTTCGATTTTTATTTCTGTGAAAATTTCACATTATTTTTATTTTGTTTTCTTTCATTATGTGACTGATTTTTCAAAATTTTTATATTTTTCCTTTTATTTTCTAGAGTAATAACAACAAACTTATTTAGATTTCCACAATTGTTTGTCTTTTTTTGCTATTTTGCCGTTTACGTCTTGAGCACACGAACGCTTTGTTGAAACTGCGTTCACAATTGAATAATACTTTCGTTTTATACACTCCAGTACTGTGTGCAGTCAAACATGTTGGATGTTGTGTTATGTTTGAAATCGTAAGCGGCATTTACTTCCGCAAAGTTGTGTGTGTGCGTGTGTGCTCTGAATGCCATTCAGATGTGGTGATAAATGATGCTAAGACAACAGCTGGTGGCGTATAAGTGTTGCGTATGATAATAAATAACACTTATACGTGGTTGGGTTGTTGCAACCATTTTGAAGTTTGATATGAATCTTCACTTTTTTATACCCTCAGCCATATGGCTACACAGGGTATATATCGATTGATACGGTCAAAACGTGCCTAGTCGAAATAACGGTTTTAGACCCTAGGTCTCTTTGGACCAAATCCGTTTCAGAACATTTGGAGTCGATCTAGCGATGTCCGTCCGTCCGTCCGTCCGTCTGTCTGTCTGGCTGGCTGGTGCGCACGATAACTTTTGAAGGGAGTATCCGATTTGGTCCAAACTTGATACATCGTAATATTTTTGTCAAACTTAGATCGAGTTCGGAGATGGGCAATATCGGTCCACTCCTTCTGGTACCTCCCCCACAAAAGGTCGAAATTTTCAAAAAATTTATTTTTTGCACAGAAAGAGAAGCGATAATCCGATTTTGCCCCAACTTTGCAAATCTTAATATTTGCGTCAGTGTTAGGTCCAGTGTGAAAATGGACAATATCGGTCGACTCCATCAAGTACCTCCCCCACAAATGGTCAAAATTTTGAATAATTACAACTCTCATAATATATGATGTAAGAGTCCGATTGTCTTCAAATTTCACACATGCCAATATTTGTATTAGCCCAAGGTCTGATGTTAAGATGGAATATATCGGTCCATTCCTTCTGGTACCTCACCAACAAATGGTCGAAATTTTAACAAATATATATTTTTGCACAGAAAGAAAAACGATAATCCGATTTTGCTCAAACTTTGCAAATCACAATATTTGCGTAAGTGCTAGGTCAAGTGTAAAAATGGACAATATCGGTCAACTCCTTCTGGTACCTCCCCCACAAAGGGTCGAGATTTTAAATAATTACAACTCTTATAAAATGTGATGTAAGAGTCCGATTGTCTTCAAATTTCACACATCCCAATATTTAATGTAACCCAAGGTCTGGTATTAATATGGAATATATCGGTCCACTCCTTCTGGTACCTCCCACACAAATGATCGAGATTTTCAAAAAAATGTATATTTTCTGCACAGAAAGAGAATCGATAATCCGATTTTGTTCCAACTTTGCAAATCCTGATATTTACGTCAGTTCTAGATACACACAACCTCCCACATAAAACACCTAAGTTTTGAATAATCAAAACGAGCAAAGAATCCGAAATAAACATCCGATTCTCTTCAAATTACACACTTCCCATTATTTCTACTGGTGTGAAGATGGGATATATCGGTCCACTCCTTATGGTACCTCCTCCACAAAGGATCAAAAGTTTGAGTATCCATGAAGCTCATAAAACGCAAAATTAACATCCGATTCTATTCAGACTTGGAGCTTCTCAATATTTTCATCAACCCAAGATCTGCCAACTTATAGTTGTCATAACTTGCGAAACAAGTCGGTGATTCTTAACAACTTGCTGTATCTAAATATTTCTCTTAAACGATATTCTGATATGAATATGTAATTCGTCGGGATTTATGATTTCGCATAAAATTGGCCCATATATTTTATCTGTATTAGATGAAGTATGAAAATGGAATACTTCAGTCCGCTATATCTGTTACCTGACGCATATTTCCGAAAATGTGCACATAGCTCATATAAAGTACAAGAAGTAGTCGATAGAATCCAAATCTGTCGGCAAAACCGACTGATACTATTTTACTTGTTTTGTAAAAAAGTTAGGTCGGATGTATTGCCCGATTAAGATGAAATTTTGCACAAATTATATGTTTGGCTCACGGACGAACCCTATTAAAATTGGTGATAATCGGACAAAATTTAGATGTAGCTCCCATATAAATCGACGTCCAATTTACTTTTTACTGTGCACGAAATGTGTAATGTTAGTTCATATAGGCTGGATGGACGAGTCAAATTTGATCGAAATCGGTTTAGATATGGCTATAACTCCCACACGTATATTTTTCATCCGATTTGTTATTTTTGTCCTTCATAGCCGTAATATGTACTCCGTAAAAGCGATATTCGGAGAAATATATTAAATACAGAACAGTGTGGCTTGTTTGTTCGGGATACCGTAGTAATTTGTTGTTGCAAAATGATCAGGCTTTATCCCTTTATTGTTGTTTTTATAAAAACAACATTTGTTTATTAGTGGAGAACGATGGTAATGTTTACCAGGGGGTAAGGCAGGGAATACCAAGGTTTCGGAAACTTCGGAACTGATGAGGATTTGTGGCTCTTTCCAAAACCTAGGTATTCCCTGCCTTACCCCCTTGTAAACATTACCTACCAAACACTACCTTCGTCAAATTTTATCGAGATCGGTTCAAATTTGGATAGTTTCCATACATATTTTTTCTCGATTTCAAGTTTATTGTGCTTCAAATGTTTATTTTAAGTCCGAATTGGATGTATTTTGGCACATACGAATGAATTCACCCTGGAAGAAAAAAAAAAGGTCTAATTTGGTGAAAATCGGTTAAGATGTAGGTAGAGAACCCATATGTATGTTTCATCCGATTTTGAATTTAAGTCCCTCACACTCGTAAAATGCTCTCAATAACAACTATATTTGGTGTCAGCTATCAGATACAGCATAGAAATATTTCTGCTAATTTTTCGATAATATAGAAATCGGTTAAGATTTTGATACAGCTCCCATATGTATGATTATCCGATTTTACATTTATTGTGCCTAAAAAGTGTAATATCAGCTAAGAAAACAAGTTAAAAAGTATCAGTCGGTATTGCCGACAGATATATACCCTCAGCCTGCGTTAGATTATTTAAATATATTTTGGCTAGTATTGCGATTATTCAAACGTTTGACCTTCTATGCAGCAGGTTCCGAAGGAATGGGTCAATATTGTCCATTCCGTATTTTATGCGAAATCATTAATTTCGATAACTTTCATATTCATATCAGACTTCTTATTGCGAGAAATATTTGGGCATAGAAATTAGTAAAGAATTGCTGAATTGTTTCGAAAGTTATGACAGATAAAATTATTGAAAATTGTGACACTGTGTGGGTGAGGTGCCAGAAGGGGTTCGAAGATATATACAAATCTTGTGTTAGCAAAAATTTTTGTATGTTTGAAATTTGCAGAGAGTTGGATGCTTATTTATTTGAGCGTTTTTTTTTTTTTCAAAATCTTGAACCCTATGTATGGGGGAGGTACCAGAAGAAATGGTTCGATCTATACCATCTTTATAACAGATCTTGTGTTGATAGAAATATTCAGATGTGCCAAGTCTAAATGGAATCGGATGTTAATTTGGCGTTTAATGAGCCACATGGGTATTCAAAATGTCGACATTTTGTGGGGGAGGTACCAGAAGGAGTGGACCGATATATTCAATGTTAACACCAGATCTTAGTTTTATAGAAATATTGGGATGTGTGAAATTTTAAGACGTTTAGTTCCTTACATCACATTTTATAAGAGTTATAATTATTCAAAATTTTGACCCTTTGTGGTGGAGGTACTTGATGGAGTGGACAAATATAGTCCATTTTCGCACCTGACCTAGCACTTACGCAAATATTAGGATTCGCAAAGTTCGAGCAAAATCGGATCATCCTTTTTCTTTCTGTGCAGAAAATATATTTTTTGAAAATTTCGACCTTTTGTGGGGGAGGTACCAGAAGGAGTGGACCGATGTATTCCACCTTCACACCAGATATTACGCTAATACAATTATTGGGATGTGTGAAATTTGAAGACAATCGGACTCTTACTTCACATTTTATAAGAGTTGTCATTATTCAAAATTTTGACCCTTTGTGGGGGAGGTACTTGATAGAGTGGACCAATATTGTCCGTTTTCGCACTTGATCTAGCACTGACAAAAATATTAGGATTCGCAAAGTTTGAGCAAAATCGGATCATAATTTCTCTTTCTGTGCAGAAAATATATTTTTTTGAAAATTTCGACCTTTTGTGGGGGAGGTACCAGAAGGAGTGGACCGATATTTCCCATCTCCGAACCCGATCTAAGTTTGACAATAATATTACGATGTACAAAGTTTGGACCAAATCGGATACTCCCTTCGAGAGTAATCGTGCGCACCAGCCAGCCAGACAGACAGACAGACGGACGGACGGACGGACATCGCTAGATCGACTCCAAATGTCCTGAAACGGATTTGGTCCAAAGAGACCTAGGATCTAAAACCGTTATTTCGACTAGACACGTTTTGACCGTATCAAATGATATATACCCTCTGTAGCCATATGGCTGAGGGTATAATGATGGATGATGAAATTGGTTTAGGTTTGCGTTGATATAAGGATGGGTTTTTGGAAATGCGTGCTCAGTGTTAGAACTGTACTAAGTGGTACTAAATTTGGTACAGTTTATTGAACAGATCTAGCTGGAATTTTGAAATGCTGGTATTGGGGTCATTACAGGTTGGTAGAGATAAAATAGTTTTGGATATTTGTACTACAATTATACGAAAAGTACATCCTGGTACTATATATTTGGTATTGGGCTAACGAATGAAAAAAATGATTTAATGGAACTACATTTGGTTTTGGGAAAGGATTAGAGAATTTGGAATAACAACTATTGATTGTGTCACAAGGTTGATATATGGATGTGGATGATGCACACGATAACTCTTGAGGGGTGTATCGGATTTAATTCACACTTGGTACATCGTAACATTATTGCCAAATTTAGATCGAGTTTGGACATTGCACTACGATCATCCAAATTTTTCTCCAAACTTAGCAACTACCAATATTTTCAACAGTGTCATGAAAGTGGACAATATAAGTCCACGCCATCATCTACTTCCCCCATAAAGGGTCAAAATTTTGAATAACAAGTAAGCAAAGGATATTTCGCAGTGCGGTCAGTCCCTACAACACTTCAACATGTTGG